TTTCAAGTGTTTTCTGCATTCTGGTATTCGATGAAAACTTGGGACAAACTAATAAATCCGATATCTGTTGGCAGTCATTTTTTAGTTACCGAAGTGTATAGCAAGTTTGCTTCATAGAAAAACTTTGTAAAAGCAACCACTGATACGAAGCAACCTACTGGTCTGTTAATGACGGTATTTTTTCTTGTTTGGTTTAGACCAGCGGTTTGTAACAGGAAAAGCTATTTAGTGCCTGCAAAGCTATCTAGTGTGGCCCTTGTCAACACTTTTTTGCTCATTTTTCCCCGTCAAGCATAAAGAGCTAATCTGACAGTTTATGTTTAAAAAGTTGCTCACGTGGGTAAAATTACACGTTTTACGCTCTTTTTGATGCGTTAAATACTACGCCGTCTTGTCCGGTGCCTTTATTACTGTAAAGCAGAGCATTTATTGGTCCAGCTAGATCTCTGAAGTTGATTTATATGACCCATCGGCAATTCCATTTATTACCTATTGTATGCCTGCCTGTTTTGAGCCAGTTCAACGTAAATGACACTTATTAGTCAACACCTTCTAATCCAGGGGTGGACAAGGTTTTTATTTAGACCAGAAGCCTACAATTTTGCCCACTTAGACTGGCGGGCCATGTAAGTATGATGTAAAAGTTACATTTTATGAACAATGTTTATACAGTGTTACAAAATCAAACTGCAAAACAATAAGCCTCGCACCAAAACTAAATTTAAACGCAATCTTAACAAATTCCTTGATATATTATTTAGCTAAATCATCAAAATTTGGTTTTAGTTTGGTTGTGGCAGCATCATCCGGGCCAGATTGAATTACCCCACGAGCCGGATTTGGGGTAGTTTGCCCACCCCTGTTCTAACCTTTAGCACCCAGTGCTGTTGAATACCAACTGTTGAGATTTTTGTCTTTCAATTTTTCCCATTTGTTGCTTGATGGATCAAACTTTTCAACTGATTTTGAGTAAGTACCATAAGAACCAACAACGTAAAGGTTTCCTGTAAACAATTTATATTTCAGACCAATGGTAGAAAGCAAATGATACTTGTAAAATAATAGAAGATAAAGTAAAGAACATATCATGTCATAATAATAGATAACACAATGACAAAACATTCACTTAAAAAATAAGTCTTCGTGGGATATATTCAAACACGTAACTAATAACCTTAAAACAAAAGTGTTAGTGTATTGTATAATAAACTCAAGTCCTTTGGCCTTTCAATTCCTGATCTGCGTGTTCTAGCAAGTAACTCTATCCTAATTATTTTGGCAATTTTTTTCTTGACATTTAGCCTTGTTTATCTTATGAAACAACAACGAAATCTTACACAGATAGATTGTGTTATAATTCTTCAATGGTGTTAATATATTAACATCATATATGAAAATATATTTTGTGTTTGTACACTTTGATTAAGTGACAAGTTTTACAAATCAGAAAAAAAAGTATCAGTATTTTGTGCACAACGCGTTCAGTTGAATTTTGGGTCACCCACAATGAAGTGATATAGTTACAATACAAGGCTGAACTGGAATTAGATACCAAATGCTATTAAAATATGTTTTTCATTAAATCCTTAAACAGACCAGTACTAAGAATTCTTGAAGCAATTTCTCACCTAATAAAACAGCAACAGGATATTTAAAAAACTCAATTACTAGTCTTAAGGCAATGGTAACAAGATATTGTTTAGCAAAAGAATTGTTGAAACAATTCTTACCAGGTAAAACAGCAACAGGAGGACAATCTCCATGCTTATACATCATATCATTCATTCTCTCCCAAGTAGCTTCACGATCTGAGTATTTCAGTCGATGAACAGATTTATCTCTCATGAGAACATAAATGTAGTCACCAAGAGCCACAGCAGAAAAGTCAGTTCCTGATCCAGGCATGTTCTGGAAAATATTAATAAACAAGATTACATTGAAGAAATGTTTGTTAGAATGTAGATAGATGTGTGGGAGTGGTGTCCCAAATTATTGTCCCAAAAAGGCCTTGTCCACATGGCATGGCACATAATGCTAAGCGATAAGAATACGCTCGCCACCGCACCTGAGATTACCCTGCGTGGGGTCGCAGGTTCGAACTCCATGCCGGGATGGTTATGTGCGAGAGGATTGCTGTACTCATCGCCGCCGTAGGGTGGTTCACGTAACCGCTGGTCGGTTACGGCTTCCTCCACCGCCAAGTCAATGCTTGCGACAAACTAATCCCATACCTGACATGGACTGGTAAACGGACGAGAGGCCGTGGTTAGCCATATGATTAAGCCTTCTTATTGGCTTCCCCCCCCCCCCACCTGGGATAAATATGTAAATCCTATATTATATACTTCAATTAAGTATCAAAGTGAAGTAGTACAAGTCAGATAGCTGAGTTTAAATCTATCATAAAAGGGGGGAAAAGAATAAGAAAAGCGATAAGATAGCCAAACACAATCTCTCGTTGAAATAAAATAAGTGACACATCAGTACTACATGTCAAAGTGGAACTACCACAACCACATCTTGCAATCCAATCACAGAAAAACGAAAAATATGAGAATAAGTTTTTACCATCTGGTGTAATAATGGAGACTATTATAGAAAATAGTAGCACCACTAAACCAATATACCCGAGATGAAGGTTGTCGAATACCAACCTGCATTTTTGTCCAAGTATTATTATGAGGATTAAAGCATTGAAGGCTCTTTGAGTTTTCATCGAACACAGCAACTGTACGAAATAAACATTGTATCAGAAAAGAAAAACAAAGACAGCACACTATAGTTCAAGTTGGAACCAATCTACAGTTGGGTAAGTTTCTAAGTTTTAAATGACAAAAGGTTTTCCATATCCTCTACGACTAAATTCAACTCACTTGCTTCCTTTTCGTCTTGTTTTATATTTTCCGCAGAATGAATATTTGAGGCACCAATGTTAAGGCTGTCCAACATAGAAATGCATAGAGCTTGATAGCATTCGAGGCATGACTTCACCATTGGCTGAAATAATCAAAATGAGTTAATCCAATGAATATTGAATGATATAAGAAAAATTTGTTTTCGCAGAAATAAAGAATAATGTCAATGAATCATTAGTAGGACTGTAAAGTCCACACTCGATGCTAAACCCATTTAAAAACTGCTCCGATTCTGGGTTAAAGAAAATTTAGTCTTGTCTCCACCTGCGAACTTAGTCAAATAAAACCCTAATAATATACTTGAATTCACTCATCTGTTGTAAAATGAATTTTTCAATATCATCAATTCAAATATACCCTACCTCGTTTTCAACAAGGAATCTTCTGTAAGTCACCGGTACTTTATGCAAATCAATGTAATTGTTCAATTGCTTCAGAATTTTCTTGCGATTTCTTTGTTCATATTTTATCCAAGATATTAAAGCCTCGAGCTTGACACTCTCTGATGCCTAGAAAGAATACAGAATATGTAAATATAAAATAATATCTTACATTTAACGAAAATGCTTAGCACTCATGCTGTAAACTGAGAAAGCGGGGTGCTTAAATTCATTGCTTGAATATTGATTCGATAAACAAGTCCGTGGTTAGCAAGCTGAAACAGTTATGTTGACATCAAAAGCCGGACCTATTTGTTCAGCTCTATCATATCATCCAAAGCCAAGTAGGAATTAGGGTCGGTTATGCACGAATGAGTGGCTGTATTTAATCATGGTTTATTTTGGTCAGCTTGAATCTAAAACCCCGCCAAAAGAGTGGCTACTTGAGGTACGAGGTTTTGTTCAGAATGAAGGAGTCAAACAAACCTAACAAAACACTAAAAATACCTTATTTTCTTTTATTTGAGTTTATTTGGTAGTTTCAGTGAAGTTTCGAAAAACTAGGCTACAATTTTATTTTAATTTGCGAGCTTGTAAAGATCATGCAATCATCGGAATAGAAATCGAGGCATGAAACCGTCTACCACATGTACATATATCATGAAATGGGAGAAATATAATTTAAAATTGAAAAATATTACAAATTTTCTTTCAATTTCAGAAATGTAATTAGTAAAATTTTTGATCTAGAATTTCCCTTCTCCATGAATATGTTTTTATTTTTTGTCACAATAACGTACATTTTAAAGTGCAATCGTCTTTTCCAGGTTCAACAGCAATAAATTCCCACTTGAAACTAAAGAAGCAAATTTTTGCTGAAAACCAAAGCAATCCTTCAAATTGACGTGGAATTTGAGAAATGGACAAATTAATTAATTCTTAGTTTATTTAATAAAGGTTTGTCACAATGTAAGGTTCAAACATTTGGAATGCATCAAACGTAATCAAACTATGTGATTAACTCTTTCCATGCGATTTTTATTTTTTAATAAATAATCGTATTTGCTACGCCGATTTTATGCATTTGTACCCCCACAACTAATCGATCGACTAACGAAAAACTAATGATCCTCTGCTGCCCACTGACGGCTCGTTGGAAAGCTTATTTAAAGAGCTTGCAATTGGCGATCGAAAAGAAATTTTTTTTAAAAGTGGTGGTCTGAGTCACAAACCGGATAGAAAAAAGGCATTTTTTTTTCTTGGGAGTTGAAACTTTAAACCGTGATAAAAAATAGAAATATTCGCTAAATCCTTTACTGTTACCGCTTCGTGGTTGGCAAACAATAGCGTAATATTGCTGTAGCAATTTCGTGATCAAACTCAAAATATTTTAGTAGATGGAAGGGATAATATGTCTTCTATTATCACCCAAAAAACACCGAAATTTGCATAAATTTCAAAAACACTCACTCGTTCCGCCGCAAATAAAATTCCCGTCGTAAACGAAAGCGAGATTTACCGTCGCTTATGTTAATCTCGAAGAAGACTTCTTGTCAATAAACTAAAACCCGGAAAAACTAGACCAACAGTTTGCGACCCATTGCTAAATAAAACAGAGTAGTACATCAACGTACCCGCCGCAATCTAGCGAGTTTTGTCGTGGGTACGTATACGTGCCCACCGCACGGAAAGGGTTAAAAAGACAGAGCGGCGGATCATGCAGTGGATTTTAAAAACTGATAAAAAGTGAAGAATTGAATTCAGCGTTAGATGCATGGTAGTAAAGTATTGATTGCATATATGAGATAAAATATACAGCAAAGATGAAAAAAAAATAATCATCATCGAATATATTGGAAGCAGGAATAAACTTTAATAACCACAACATACATACATACAAGATGAATGTAATTTATTGTATAAGTATTTTGCAGATAGCACTGAAAAAGGTTTGTTTAAAGTAAAACTATATTGAATATATTATATTGTGCGGAAAAGGCATCTGCTAATTTATAAATTGCAATTCATTCACTGATTTTAATTAAGAAATGATAAGTGAATTCAATTGAAGAAGAAACCGCTTGAAGAATGCACAAGACAATATATCATACCCAGATAATATCGAATGGCATTAAAAACTGAATAGGAATAATAAATCAACCTAATTTTTACTGGCCACTGGCTATATATAACATTCGCTTCCAATGATTTATGATATTTGGTGACAAATTTTGTATAACAAGGATATAGAATCCCACTCCAATTTGCTAAAGATTAACTTTAAATGATAAGCAAGCTAAATCAGGGCTGAGGAGTCGAGGCCAATGATAGGATAGGATAGGATTTACATATTTATCCCGGGGGAGAGGAAAGGCGATAAGACGGCTTATCCCTATGGCGAACCACGGCCTCTCGTCCGGTTACCATTCCAAGTCGGGTATGGGATTAGTTTTTACTGTATTGTTTGTTTTCGGAAGCATGGACTTGTAAGATTTATAAACTCTGTTTTCCTGTCACTGAGAGCAGGAGTGAAAATGTCCATCAACCAACAATCGTTTTTTATATGGGCATCAATTCTGTCCGACTACACACTGTCATAATCGGAATTCACATAAAAAAATGCTACAAACAAATATAGGGTATTTAATACAAACAAATCATTTAAAAATATTTCTTCACATTAGTAGTAAACATAGCTATGTCCAGTGAGTTGAAGTTTCTAGGCAATGTCATTGACTAATTGCATTTAAGAAAACTATATAAATTAATTACGGTAAGTAATGCAAGAAATCATTATAGAAGTACAAAATTCACTCAGTGGTAACACGAGCACCTATTAAATGTCGAATATCTATCATAAAATTCCATAATAATAAGATCACAACCATAAGATACTAATACGTCCTTTAATGTTAACTAACTATTCTCTGTAATATACAATCAAATCACTTCAAATTAATTTTCACTGCATCGAGTATATTCAGATTCATGTTCTCCATGACACTCATCTCCCATTGATTCTTCTTGAAATCAAACTTCTCCATGCTTTCTGGTGAACTGAAAAATATACAGAGAAGATTATTTCAGTTCTGCAAGACAAATGGTTTGTAAAGTGGTTGTTTGGCTACTCATTGAAAATAGATTTTTAAATTCTACAGTAAATCAAAATACAAAAAAAGCAAAAATGACCGGTTACCGCAGGTGGCAGACTCTGATTCAAACTTCATAGTCAGCAATATGATTATACTGCTTCTTCTATCCGCACAAAGAGCTCAAACCAAAAGCGATTATCTATCCAAAGTTATGAATATATTCACAAAAATATAAAAATTTCAGTTTATTTCTGTGAGCATCGACAATATGGACACTAGATTGGTACAACACTTATAGTGATGAATACAGGGGAACAAATATTTCTTTGGGAATAAGTATTTCAGAACAAAATCTCCAAAACAGAAGACCCTAGTGCAGGGGTGTCACGACCCCAAATTGGATCGGAGTGATAAGTAGGTAGAGTCGCAAACAGGTCATGGTGTCGGTGGGGTCGCTGAGGTATGGTAAAAGTTTATTAAAAGTGATTATCGGAGTCGCATAACAAACATTACCTTGGAAAATTCTTTGGTATGCTGCCTGACATCATACATCCCCAGATACAGGAAATTGATTAAATTAAACAGTGACCACTCCCAATGACAGAGATTTTTTAATTTTAAAACTTGTTTTTTTTTCGTAATTTCGGTATTTTTAATTAAAATCGAAAGTTTAAATGTTTTAGCTTCTTTTACTTGATACCACCACATGACAAAACTCAAAAGTCCAGTGACAGAATCTCTAAAGTTACATGTAAATTATATATATTGACCTGGGGTCGCACTGGACACTTGAAAGTTGTCTTTGGGGTCGTCCTGAGAAAAGCTTGAAAACTCCTGCCCTAGTGCCTACCATGTTGTAATAAATCTCAATAACTCTACCTGTTCCTTCCTCCAATTGCGTAAATATTTGAATCAATCACAAAAGCACTAAACCAGCTCCGCTTCGTTAACATGGGAGTTATCGTGGACCACACGTTCGTTGAAATATCATATCGTTCAACAGTTGTCAAGTGATTGTTCACATATCCACCTGAATAAAAATAAACAGTTCGTTTATATCTGCTTGCAATTTTGCCAAAATGATACAAAACAATGTTTATCCAACTTTTGACAATCTCACCTACACAAGACAAGGCAATAAATGAATAAAAATGGAATAGTGAACTAACATGATGGCAGGTAACAACTGCAAGGTGATGAATATAATGCGGAAAATTTTACTAGCCTGAACTGAAGATTTTGGAACTTGTTCAGTATGTCTGATAATCACTCTAAATTTCAACTACATATACGTCGTTACAGCCGTCTCTAGTAACATTACCAAATGTATTTATGAGTTTACAGTTTACACGGCTATTGGATTGACCTTTGCATTCGTGTAAATATATAGGTATACAAGCATTTGAACATGATTCGTCACATAACAATATAATTCTGCAATCTTGCAGAATAACATGTTTGGAATATTAGTAGTTCATGACGATGCTTTAACATGTTTGCATTGCATTTGATACCTTGAAGCACAGTCATTGAAATATTCTGGTTAATTGCTTTTTTATGTAAAACTGAATATTATTATGGGCACCTCTAAATATATTTTTTTCTTGAGTCCTTGTACATTTTTAGCAACATGCACCAACCTACCTAGAACATATATTTTTCCTTCATTTTCAACAGCTGCGACAAATTCCTTTGCTTCATTAATGGATGCAACAAATGACCAAGTTGATGATGTTGGGTCAAATCTTTCTACTTGGTTGGTCGAACGACCTGATACATAACCACCAATGCTGTATATAAAACCTGGAATTAAACAGGGATTATTACTATCAAGTGTTTTCTGCATTCTGGTATTCGATGAAAACTTAGGACAAATTGATAAATCCGATATCTGCTGACAGTAATTTTTATATTTACCGTAAGTGTATTGCAAGTTTGCTTCAAAAAACAAAGCAACCACTGATACAAAACGACCTACTGGTCAGTGAAAAACGGAATTTCTTCCTGTTTGGTTTAGACCAGGGGTTGGCAACAGACAAAGCTATTTAGTGTCCGCAAAGCTATCTAGTCTGACCCCTGTCAACACTTAGATTTATAAAGAGTTAATCCGAAGCTTATGTTTAAAAAGTCGCTCACATGGGTAAAAGTACATGTTTTTATGCTCTTTTTGATGCGTTAAATACTTCGCCGTTTTGTCTGATGCCTTTATTACCGTAAAGCAGAGCATTTATTGGTCCAGCTAGATATCTTAAGTTGGTTATATGACCCAGCGACAATTCCATTTATTACCTATTGTATGACTGCCCGTTTCGAGCCAGTTCAATGTATATGACATTTATTGGCGCTCCCGAAGTATGTGAACCACGATGGCGGACACCGGAACTTAGTATGTGTACCAGGTTACGGTTAGGCCATAATTTATTCCAATTTTCCCTATTTTAGTTCTATTATTCGAGGACATAGGATAGGATTTACATATTTATCCCGGAGGGGAGGAAAGTCGATAAGACGGCTTTATCATATGGCGAACCACGGCTTCTCGTTCGGCCACCAGTCCATGTTGGGTATGAGATTAGTTAGTTACTTGTTTTCGGAAGCATGGACTTGATGGTGGAGGAAGCCGTAACCGACCAGCGGTTACTTGAACCACCCCACGAGGAGTCCAGCAATCCTCTCGCACATGATCATCCCCACATGGAATTCGAACCTGCGATCCCACAATAGGTAATCAGAGATGCGGTTACTATCCAAGTATTTGTAGCTGAAATTATGGCCTAACCCAACCTGGTACACATACTACGTTCTGGTGTCCGCCATCTTGATTCACATATTTCGGGAGTACCTATTTATTTATTACACAAAACCTTCTAACCTCCAGCACCCAGTGCTGTTGAATTTGTACTGTTGAGATTTTTGTCTTTTACTTTTTCCCATTTGTTGCTTGATGGCTCGAACATTTCAACTGATTTTGAGTAACCACCGGAAGAACCAACAACGTAGAGGTTTCCTGTAAACAATTTATATTTCAGACCAATGATAGAAAGCAAACGATACTTGGAAAATAATAGCAGATAAGGTAAAGAACTAGACATTAGCAATGGAAAACAAAACATTAACCAAAAATAAAAAAAAAGCTTCCATGGGATATATACAAACACAAATAAACTACTAATCTTAAAACAGGAGTGTTAGTGTGATGTATAATCAACTCAAGTCCATTGGTCTTTGAATTCCGGATCTGCGTGTTTTAGCAAAGTAACTCAATCTTAACTATTTTGGCTATTTTTGTCTTGGCATTTATTTTCCTGGACTCAAATATATGATCTTACGAAACAAGTACTATTTCTTACACAGATAGACTGTGTTATAATTCTTCAATGGTGTTAATATGAAAATATAATTTGTGTTTGTACACTTTCATTAAGTGACAAGTTTTACAAATCAGAAAAAAATTATCAGTATTTTGTGCACAAAGCGTTCACAAGAATTTTGGGTCACCCACAATGAAGTGATATAGTTACAATACAAGGCTGAACTGGAATTAGATACCAAATGCTATTAAAATATGTTTTTCATTAAATCCTTAAACAGACCAGTACTGAGAATTCTTGAGGTAACTTCACTCCAAACAAGACAGCAACAAGATATTTGAAAAACTCAATTACTAGTCTGGGTTAGAGGTAACAAGATAATGTCTAGGAAAAGAATTTTTCAAGCAATTCTTACCAGACAAAACAGTAACAGGAGGACAATACCCGTGGTCATACATCATATCATTCATTCTCTTCCAAGTAGCTTCACGATCTGAGTATTTCAGCCGATAAACAGATTGATCTCCCATGAGAACATAAATGTAGTCACCAAGAGCCACAGCAGAAAAGTCAGTTCCTGATCCAGGCAAGTTCTGGAAAATTTCAGTAAATAATATTGTATTGAAGAAATCGTTGTCAAATGTAGATACGGATGGATGGGTGTGGCGGGATGAGAGAATCTAATCCCACTCAAATATTTTTCCTAAAAAGGCCTTGTCCACGGATGGCACTTCATGCCAAGCGTTGAGAATATGCTCTCCACCTCACCTCTGATTACCCTGCGTGGGGTCGTCGGTTAAAATTCCATGACAGGATGGTTATGTGCAGGAGAATTGCTGGACTCATGGCCGATGTAGAGGGGTTCACGTTACCGCTGGTCGGTTACGGCTTTCTCCACTTACTAACCCCATGCCCGACATGGACCGGTAAACGGACAAGACGCCATGGTTCGCCATATGATAAAGCCGTCTTATCGGCTTCCCCTTCCTTGGGATAAATATGTAAATCTTATATCACATACATACAAGTCAGGTATCTGACTTTAAATTTATCCCGAGGAAGGGAAAATCAAAAGCTGATAAGATGGCCAAGAACAGTCGAAATGAAATAAGTAACACATTACTACTATATGTGGAACTACCACAACCATATCTTGCAATCCAATCGCAGAAAAACACAAGCTTTGAGAATTTATTTTATCATCTGAAGTGATAATGAAGATTAATGAATGATATTTTCTATGTATAATACGATTAGACTGAGATACCCTAGTTGACGGTTGTCAAATACCAACCCGCATTTTTGTCCAAGTATTATTCCGGGGGTCAAAGCATTGTAGGCTATTTGAATTACGATCAAACACTGCAACTGTAAAATATAAACTTCGTATCAGAAATAAAAAGCAAAGACAACAAACTATAAAATCGTTCGAATTGGAACCAATCCACAGTTGGGTAAGTTTCTAAGTTTCAGATGACATGTTATTCTATACTGTCTACATCTCAATTCAACTTACTTGCTTCTTTTCCTCCTTGTCTTATATTCTCAGCAGAAGGAACATCTGAAGCACCTACGTTCAAGCTGTCCAACATGGAGATGCACAGGGCTTGATAGCATTCAATACATGACTTTACCATTGGCTGAAACAACCGAAAGGTGTTATGTCATCCCATAAATATTAAATGATATGAGAAATTTTTTTTATCTGGAAATTTAGGAATATTTTACTATTTTTTAAGAAAATTCAAACATTCACTCAATCACCAAAAAAAGCAAGAATAGGTCACAAAATTCTGGCACAAGGAGAGACTTTTTCAAGACTGGAATTCCAACTCCGAAAAAAAAAGTTGACTCGGACTTAGACTCTTGGTAATTTAAGAACAAGTTGCATTATTAAAACTTGCCAAAGTATGAGCCCTGGTATTTTGTAAGATAATTCTTAATTATTTATTCAAAGTCGAAGTTTAAATGAAAGATTGCAAGATGCAAAAATAAAAGGTTTAAAAATATCAATTCAAAAATACCCGACCTCGTTTTCAACAAGGAATCTTCTATAAGTCACCGGTACTTTATGCAAATCAATGTAGTTGTTCAATTTCTTCAGAAGTTTTTTGCGATTTTTTTGCTCATGTTTTATCCAAGATATCAAAGCCTTCAGCTTCACAATCTCTGATGCCTAGAAAGAGTACAGAACATCAAGAATATTCAATATAGAATATTCGGGCCATGTTCATAACACAAATTAAGTACTTCTAGCTGGCGTGGCACAACCATTTTTGCATATGTGTTTCCCAGACCCCAACAGATTATGTCATTCAAAAATTACGTCGCTATGATGTAAAAGCTCTCATCCAAGACCAACTCTCATCCAAGACGCGCACACGATCGCCTAAAATCGAGCATACTATTTCTCTTGTTTTCTCGTCGCACCGTTTCCGATATGAGAAAGATTACTGGCGTTAGTGAGTTCGTGATGGTTTGCGAAGATGCCATTTCAGGCGGTCGTAGTCTGGCAAGCTGTTTGGCGTGATTGTGAGGTCGTAGTGACATTAGTCTTTGGATGACGGAGCCAGGTGGGTGTTAGGAATAGCATATACAAAAATGTTTATGCCACGCCAAATATAAGTAATTGCCACGCTCATTTCTAAACTATGGCAGCGACAAAACTTGCATTTGTTGCGATATAATATGCTCTATTGGGCTTGCCCAGACTCAAATACCATGTGTGTAAAATGTACTGTATTTTGCACATGTGCAGTACCGTATTCTTACTGTTATGAGAAACACAACAGGCTCTGCATGAAACTGGTTAGAGGTAACTTTTGGGGGCATGTCATTAAATTCACACAACACCAGACGCGATCGACTACTCGAGACGTGGCGATCGACGTGTTGGCCACCCCTGCTATACAGTAAAGCAGTGCGTTCCACCAAGTCAGAAGGTTGAGTGGCTGCTTGTATCATGAAAAGAATCTAAAACCTTGAGAATCTAAAACCTTGTCCAATTGAGTGACTACTTGTATAAAGTCTTTTCAAAATGAAGATTTGAAACAAAACACTGCAAATACCTTGTTTTCTTGTGATTTGATCAATCCAACAAATCCCTTTTCCTCTATTTCCTTGAACTCATCAAGAACTGCAATTTCTTCAAATTTATCCAGCATGAACTTCTCGCATTTTTCCATCAATTCTTTGTAATTGTACAGGTTTGCGATTCTTTTTGTCGCAAAAAATGATTCTGCAGATGATTCGAGATTTTCTTCGAGTGAATCAACGATGCTTTCACAGACATCTGTTCAAAAAAAACATACATGAAGTTATATATATATTTAAACATTTATCAATGAACAATCAAACATCTATTTTGATTTGCCCCCCAGAGCTTTTGGCTTTTCTTAGTTATTTCGGAACCTTTCCTTGCAATGTAGAGGAATGATTACAAAGTGGCCAAAAAAAACAGAACTCAGGTCATTTGAATCATAACTTTTGCGCAAAGCATCTTAGATTACCAAAACTTTTGGGTGCAATCATACTCGGGCAAAGTGCAATTAATAATTGAATTTTCCTCATTTTCGTGAAGGTGATTCATAAATTCTGTTTGCCTCGAGTCACCATGTTAAACTTGGAATGAAAGTTAAGAAAAAAAGATATGGCAGATTAATTAACAAGCTGAATAAGATAAAAAAAAAACAGTTTTTCTGTTCAGTAAAAAAACTAGCCAGAATAACAATAGAAATTCAGGCCCATGTTCACCGAATAGATCCATTTGTGGGAGATTGTCTAGTTCAGGGGTGGCCAACCTTTCACATACCATGCGCCACGTTTTAAACATAATGTTTCAGATGCGCCGTAAATCTCTTGTATTCCCACGCTTAATGTCCGCTTCTTGTTGAAATTATATAAATTTATAATACACACACATATATACACACGTATATGTAGTTTTTACAATTTATAACTTCACATGAATAGAAATTAAGCAAGGAAGTATAATAAATAAAACTGATCAATTTTATTTAAGTACCGCCTTTATGAGACTTTTGCTGCTGTTTACTTTCGCCAGTTTTTTTACTCTTGGAGTTAAGGTTGTTACTGGGAGGAGCAGTGCATTCTTCAAATTTAAATCTGTAAGTCTTGACCTCGCTTTGCTTTTAATTAGTTTCATGGCAGAAAATGGTTGTTCACATCTATATGTCGTTCCGAAACGACATATAAAACCCTGGGCAAATTCTAATCGATTCTAATTGGCCTTTGCTAATCAGCTGTTTGGCCTAGCGTCGCGTGATTTTACTCCAGGCTTCTTCGAGATTAGTACTTGCGTCACAGCAAGCGATTTTACGCTTCGCTTTTGTTGACAACGGTCATTTGAAGTTTGGATGAAAAAGGTGGTATTTAGGGGTCATTTTCAGCATGTTGTAGGTTGATTTATAATAAATTTTTCAGGCTTGGGCAATTCAACTGGTTCTTCAATGGTTATCGGGAGATATTTGGGAAGTCTGGGCAATGAAAAATTCATGTTTCAAGCTGATAAATGAGGATTTTCTATTTTTCCAGAAGTTCTGAACTTTTTACTTCAGTAGAGAAAAAGTAGTAAATTTTACTAATTTTTGCTAAAAGTCTAGAATGAATGTCATAAAGTCCGTCCAAAAGCTAACGTCGATAATCGCCTGTTGTTTCTAATTCCAACAAGCCGTAA